CAGAAGTTACAGGGGTGGCCCGATACCTTGTGTCACCCTGTATACATGTCTACTTAACTTTTTTAAGTCGTCCTTTCGTAACTTTGTTACAAGTGGAACATATTGCGAAAGTATTCCTATTTTGAACTGACACACCCAATTCGTAGGATTTTTTATTTATTGTTGTAAACTGTAGTAGTACGTAGGTATGTTTCGGAAAATAGGTTTGGCGTTAAAAAACATTCTTAAATTGACATGTTTGTATAGACAATCATCTCGTAACTGCCTTGATCGCTGGTAATTTTCTAGTATGATTTGCGTAATATTGATCGATTCTGGTCCATTTAGAAGTGATTCATTAGAGCATATATACATTATTAGACCATTAGAATTTGTATCTGAAAATTGCAGAATATCCAAAGGCCTTGAAAACCGGAGGTGACGATTCCATATACAATTGGCTATAATTGATATGATGTAATCTTGACTATCTCCTTCGGTTTACTGATGATTTATTGTTTGAGGAGACCTCCGATACATTGAGTTCAACTTGAGTTTTCGAATAGACTTCCTGAAAACGTTTTATTTAGAGTTTGCAAATGTTTCATCGACAACATTTATTTGCTGAAAATCTCCTATCCAAGACCTTCTGAAATTCAGGAAAACATTTTGTTCAATTCATCTTAGAAATGTTTTACTAAAGAACAACTCGAAAACGTTCACGAAGAAGTTATCTACGTTCAGACTTCTTGACAATGTACTACCTTTGGTATTGTTCCGATTGCCTAAATTTCTTTTTATTTAGGATAAAAATATCGAAATATTCTATGATTCAACTGGTATTGAGAGAAGCATTCAGCTTCAAACTGGTTAAAAAATATCACGGTCATACTTCATCAGGATTTCCAATTCTGGACACTCAGAAAACATCGAAATCTGGTAATATTGATAATCTGTTCAGCACGGATAAAGAGAATTTATTCAGATGTTGCTTGGGAGTTCCTTGGAACCGTTCAGTAAAAACATTAATTCGAAACATTCTGAGAAAGTTGCAACACGTTGGAAATGTTAAGATCATCAGAATATGAACATCTCGAGTACGTAACTTTCGGTATGTTTTAATGACGTCACGAAATTATCCAACATACGATAATATTATGCTGATGGAACCTATTGATGAAATACATTTCACGATAACGTTTTATGTCAAGAAACAATTTATTTCTTCTTTTCTGAGCAAATCGAAATCAAAAATTCTCAGGTATTGATCAGACCACTATTTTCCAAAGACCTTATTAAATCATCCATTTCTATTCAGCAAGTCACAAAAACTCACGTTCAGAAAGTCTTGAGAGCATGTATTCCAGAACTTCTGATAACTTTGCATTCTGAAATTCTTCAGTACCTCCCAGTTGGGACGTTCTGAGAACGTTTCAATTAGAACATGCTGATAATATTTTAGGAATTTCTGAAATGTTTTCTTGTTCCGTTCGATAATCTACTTTACACCACAAAAGCTTCCCATGATCTACAAAGCCCAAATACATCTAGTTTCAGAATCCTGTTCTAATATATAGGGTTCAGCACCGAAACATACGCTGATGCTCTTAGATTCGTTCTAGAGGAGAGCCATTCACCTGGTAGGAGATGCCACACTCACCAATTCTATAACCCCATTAGAACACCGTAGAAAAGTCGTCGACCTTCCAATCTTTTATAGATACTTCCACGGAAAATGTTTCCCAGAAATTTCTGATATAATCCCATCACTAACAATACCAGTCAGACGAACTGGACAGGCCCAGTCAGCACATAAATTCGTCGTTAACTTTGAAAAACGTGGAACAAAGCTCTTTCAAAACTCATTAATCTACAGAACGGCAAAGCTTTGGAATTCTTTGCCAATGGAAGTTTTTCCAAGAACTTATAACCTCCAAGAGTTCAAAAAAAACAACAATTATAGTTATTGCCTTTCGTATGCTCCAAGAGATAAAAAAAAGTTAAACTAAGATTGCATTCCATTCAACTTGAGAATATTTCAGTTAGATAGGCTCAGAGATCATGGTTATACAACTCGAGAAACTGTTTTCCATCTAGATATTTGCGAGTGGATAATTCAGGACGTCTTGAGAATCCTTTCAGACACAAATACCTTCATAATTCTTCAATAAAGGCAATCTAAGAACATACCTATATAAGTTACGTTCAAAATATTTCAAACACGTCCTAAAACAGTTTAGAAAAATAGGATCATGTTTTTTCAACGTTGTTTCAAGTAGTAAGATCTGAATCGCCTGCGAAGACTTCTCAGACGTTTGGCGCTCGAGGATTCTTCTCAAGATGGCTTCACAATGTAAATGATATTCAGTTCACGTTTCAAAGACGTCCTCAAAACGTGCAAAAGAATCTTTCTCAGGGTGATTTGGTGTGTGTGGGTTTCTGGTTCAGGATGACGGAAAAAAGCAGACTGTGGATTCGTGATTTATTCAAGTACTCCGTTTTACATAAAAAGGGAAACCGTTTTGGAGAATCTACAAAAATAAATTGTTTACCTGAATATTTCCACAAAAGAATATTTGAATACTCAAGGCGAACACGCAGTACATCAACCATGTGGAAACGAACAATGTATTTTACACTTCCTACATAAGACTTACCTACAAAAATAAATTGCGGGCACGAACAACGAGGGAAACTCGTGTTTTATTTCCCAGGCAGTTTTACCTTTATTGATTTCCTTGCCGATTTCCCACTATTTAATTCAATAACAATAAACTTCTCACATATCTTTCGAAGCTACTAAATGAGGAAGATAACGAATTTCCACTTTTTACTGGAGTCACAAAAACCGGTGGTACCGAGAGGGTTAGGTAGCGACATCCTACGGCGCATCGGCGAACCCGTAATGTTTCAGCGACCCACGCGACACAGGGTACTAGCATGGCTAGCCATGCTGGACGCTGTACTTAAACTTCCCGCACGCTGAGGGCACTCCATTCGATCCGCTACAAACGTATAAAACTATTAAATCATGTTATTTTCACCAATTTTCCTAGCGGTAAGGACTCTGGATCGCTTTCGGAGATTCCTCTAGCATAGACGTCAAGGCCAAATAAAATAGAACATGCATAAAATGTTACGCTCAAAACGTTCAGAGAACGTCCTGAAAATGTAAAAAACAAGCAAAACATGTTATTTTCACTTATTTTTTTAGTGCTGAGGACTGGATCGCCTTTGGAGACTCCTCGAGCATATACGTCAAGGCCAAATACTCGCGCGTTCACAGACTGACCACTCGGAGCTCAAAATGATCAATATTGATGAACCTTCAGAAAATATTCAAATCGCGTATTCAAATACGGAAGTAGAAAGAACACTCTATTCCTCTACACATCCTAAAAATGTTGCTATCAAAACATACATAGATCGTTACGCTCAAATCGTTTGAAAAACGTCCTGAAAATGTAAGAAACTAGCAAATTATGTTATTTTCACCAATTTTTCTAGTGGTAAGGATTGGATCGCCTGCGAAAACTCCTCGAGCATAAAATGTTACGCTCAAAACGTTCAGAGAACGTCCTGAAAATGTAAAAAACAAGCAAAACATCTTAATTTCACTTGTTTTTTTAGTGCTGAGGACTGGATCGCCTTTGGAGACTCCTCGAGCATATACGTCGAGGCCAAATACTTGCACACGCGCGGTCTGGCCTGCCTGGCACTCAAAGAAGTTCTGCAAGATGGCTTTATTATGAAAATCTGTTTCAAATTGAACAAAACTGATAGATAATGAACAGATATTCGAAATACGGAAATAGAGAGGATAATACTCCACTAGACATTGAACGTTGCAATTAGAACATGCATAGAACGTTACGCTCAAAACGTTCAAAAAACACCCTCAAAATGTAAAAAATTAGAAAATTATGTTATTTCAACCAACTTTTTTAGTGGTAAGGACTGGATCGCCTTCGAAGAGACTCCTCGAGCATAGACGTGAAGGCGAAATACTCGCGCGTGCGCGGTTTCGCCGGTCTGGTGCTGAAGGACGTTTCACAAGATGGCTTTATAATGACAACAATATTGATGAATCATTATATAGCAGATATTCAAATCGCGTATCCAAATACAGACGTAGGGAGAATACGGCTCTTCTACTAGACATTCTAAAAACGTTGCAAATAGAACATGCATAAAACTTTACGATCAATACGTTCAAAAAACATCCTGAAAATGTAAAAAACAAGCAAAATATGTTATTTTCACCAATTTTTCTAGTGGTAAGGATTGGATCGCCTGCGAAAAATCCTCGAGCATGAAATGTTACGCTCAAAACGTTCAGAGAACGTCCTGAAAATGTAAAAAACAAGGAAAACATGTTACTTCCACATATTTTTTTAGTGCTGAGGACTGGATCGCCTTTGGAGACTCCTCGAGCATATACGTCGAGGACAAATACTTGCACACGCGCGGTCTGGCCTGCCTGGCACTCAAAGACGTTCTGCAAGATGGCTTTATTATGAAAATCTGTTTCAAATTGAACAAAACTGATAGATAATGAACAGATATTGGAAATGCGGAAATAGAGAGGATAATACTCCACTAGACATTCAACGTTGCAATTAGAACATGCATAGAACGTTACGCTCAAAACGTTCAAAAAACACCCTCAAAAAATTAGGAAATTATGTTATTTCAACCAACGTTCTTAGTGGTAAAGACGGGATCGCCTTCGAAGAGACTCCTCGAGCACAGACGTGAAGGCGAAATACTCGCGCGTGCGCGGTTTCGCCGGTCTGGTGCTGAAGGACGTTTCACAAGATGGCTTTATAATGAGTACAATATTGATGAATCATTATATAGCAGATATTCAAATCGCGTATCCAAATACAGACACCTTTCACTAGACATTCTAAGAACGTTGCAAATAGAACATGCATAAAACTTTACGAACAATACGTTCAAAAAACATCCAGAAAATGTAAAAAACAAGCAAAATATGTTATTTTCACTAATTTTTCTAGTGGTAAGAACTGGATCGCCTTCGAAGACTCCTCGAGCATAGACGTGAAGGCAAAATACTCGCGCGTGCGCGGCTTGGCCGGTCTGGCGCTGAAGGACGTTTCACAAGATGGCGGCGACGAGTGCGGCGCGAGCGTGCTGGAGGCGGCGCACGACGGCCTGTCGAGGCAAGCGAGGGCGCCGAGGGGGGCGGTTTTGCACTCGCTGGAGAGGGAGTTGCAGGGGGCGGCATCGTCAGGAGGGTTGGAGGGGGTCAGGCTGTCACCGTACAGGATTTCGAGGGTGGTGGATGTGGAGGGGCGGATGCATGTCGTGAGGCAGGTAAGGATGTTTGGGTAATTTCTTTGGTACTTACGTATTTTCGTCTAAAAAATACGAATTCGATAATGAAAATGTGAACAAACCATTTTATTTATCGAGATATTTCAAGAAAAAGTTCGAAATCTCGCCTTCTTTCTCCCCTTGTGTTGGATGCATTCACAACTACTTGCTCTTCTTATTTTGTCATTGAACACTTTATATACTCATGACACATTTTAATATAGAAAATTCAACAGGAAATATAATTTGTATGCAGTTTTTTATATTTAGTGAACATAACATGACGGCCATTTAATCAATAGTCAATCCAAATACGAGATGTCAAATGTCAACAGATTGCTGTTGAATGACATTACACACGGCATTATTTCAAATTATATTCTTCCTTCTTCTCACTAAACATGGATAAACCACAAGAAAATCATATTTCTAGTCTACTCATATAATAATGAATGAAGCAATATTTCTCCGACATAACTTGGCAATCACGCATTTCCTCACCACGGGAATAGGATTTTGGTTTACTCGTTACCATGACGATCGTTGCCATGGCAACAGTTTTTCCATAACTCATTTCAGCCAAACTAAACCCGATACAACTTGGCAACCACGCATTTCCTCACCACGGGAATCGGGTTTTTGTTTACTCCTTACCATGACGATCGTTGCCATGGCAACAGTTTTTCCATAACTCATTTCAGCCAAACTAAACCCGATACAACTTGGCAACCACGCATTTCCTCACCACGGGAATCGGGTTTTTGTTTACTCCTTACCATGACGATCGTTGCCATGGCAACAGTTTTTCCATAACTGATTTCAGCTATACTAAACCCGATACAACTTGGCAACCATTTCCTCACCACGGGACTTTGTTTTCTGTTTACCTGTTACCATGACAATGGTTGCCATAGCAACAAATTTTCTATAACTGATTTCAGCTAAACGAAACTTTAACCTATTTTACAGCATATTTTGGAGAAAGAACTATATTAATTGATTTAGATGTATGACAAACTGACAATTATCATACAGGGCGTGGAAAGAAATTCTGAATTGAGAAAAACCCAATCACGAATCTGCGATTGAAGGTCTATAAAAATAACAAGTTTCCATCGTTCAAGTTTGAACCCCTTGATTGGGTATGAAAGTATTGAAAAGGAATATTCTCAGATATATTATAAACATGAAAAAATGGATACATTTGAATAAATACATTGAGAATTCGCATTCTCTATGTGATGAAATTATTAATTCTTTCTCGGCATATTCAACAGAAAACAACTACTTTCCTGGCTATATGCCACGACGAACATTGAATTATATCAATTGAACATACACGAAATTTATTATTATTATTATTTATTCGAATCAAAATCATCTAACCTATGTGAAAGAGATGTGCATATATCCCAAACATCATGGATACGGATGATTTTTTGATAAATTCACGACTCAACAAGAACAGAGTATGTATACTAGTATATTTCTCCCATACATTCCAATTTTCATACCAATTTGGTAAGTAATATATTTTTTATATCGTTATATTCATCATAGTATTCATCCGATTCTGGAAGAGAATGTCAATTCTCAATTTCAGACGATATTCATTTTATGCTCAAATTCCTATCGTGTATGTTCAATTGATATAATTCAATGTTCGTCGTGGCATATAGTCAGGAAAGTAGTTGTTTTCTGTTGAATATGCCGAGAAAGAATTAATAATTTCATCACATAGAGAATGCGAATTCTCAATGTATTTATTCAAATGTATCCATTTTTTCATGTTTATAATATATCTGAGAATATTCCTTTTCAATATATTAATTGACACAAATAAATAAATAAAAAAAAGTTGCGATGGCCGGGAATCGAACCCGGATCAACTGCTTGGAAGGCAACTATGCTGACCATTACACCACCATCGCACTATGTACAATGCTTCAGAAGAACTGTACCCACCAATAACAGTTTGTGATAAACAAATAATTATATGCAAAAAATAGAAATATATTGTAATAAACTGATCTAATTGATCTAAAGATATTTTTGAACACGAATGACATAGGCGTTGACAGCTATACCCTTTAATTTAGAAAAATTCCTTCATAGCAAAAACAGCTAGAGAGTAGGTATATACTTATCCTTAACTTTTTTCGATCAGCTTATTTCAAGGCTAGGGTTGCCCCTTGCCCTTGCCATGCATGTCCCAAGAATCAAGAATCAGGAAGCAGCAAAAACTGTGTGTCAAACGGAATTTTTCATCATTTTAAAAGTTCCAACACTTCAAATCTAACGTTATGCTGGTTTTATAGGTAGATTCAATTAAACTAACAATTAGGAATTACTCATCAATTAACAATCAACAAAATTATACAGGGGCATTTAGTGCGTCGATCGGAGCTCGATTGTTCGAGTTCTATGATAACTAGAAACTTGATTCAAAAACGAATGTGAATGAGACAACAAGGTCCATAACTAGAAATTATTACCGCATATATATAGGGCGCACCGAAAAGAATCGAGAGGGTCGGAATTATCTTTTTCAAATGCAATGCTCTGTATATAAAAGCACATTTTTTCAAGCATCCCTGTGACTTCCAGCCCTCCCCCTTTAATATCGTTGACTATATCTCGAATATTTCAAAGTTATGAATTTTCCATGTCGAAATAATATGTCATCTGCAGATGCACACCAATAAAGAAATCACTGTCGTCACAATTATGAAATTGAAGAGAAAATAATCTCAATATCATTTGATGAAAATAAGATGAGTGTTGTTTTGGATACATTTTTATATCCTCAAATTATACAGGGTGGCTGGGCCTTGACCTGCTTGGACCTGGACCTTGTTGTCTCATTCACATACCTACATTTTTGATTCAAGTTTCTAAAAATCATAGAACTCGAGCAATCGACCTTGAACGCACTAATGCCACATCCTCTCTGTAGAATAATCATCAGGGTAATTATATCTATATATAAATATCTGATATTAATTCAGAATTGAACGTGAAATGTCTTCTGAATATACAGGGTGTTTCAAAAAACCTGACCCCCTTGCTAGGGTAGGTAGAACAATGCAAAATAAGTTGGGTTTGCTCAGTGAAAATTTGTCGTAAGGGCATCCGTTTTCATGATACAAGGTGTTGAAAAAACGATTTTTTTACACATTCTTCACGATTATGTCGAAACTACTGGCAACATTGTATTGAAATTTTGTATGGATGTTTCTTGAAATCTGACACTTCGCATGAATTTGTTTTTATATCTGACTCTCATAGAGGGCGCTAGTTACACGGTTCTAAAACTCGATCCTGTGTCTCGTGGTTCGTACCGAGTAGTTTAGAACATCACTTTTTTGGGATTAGATTTTCCAAGCCAAATATGAATTTGAACATCATTCAATTTTACATCAAGAAGGTACTCTTGGTGAAACTCGATACTATGTTCCGTTTTCGGAATATTTCGATTTGAAAATAATGGAGTAGTAATGATGCTGATATAAAATGAATTTTATTGAGTTCAATTACCTATTTATCCACATCCAAAAACAATAAAATCATTCTTGTGCTGAAATTATTGATGGAACAAAGAACCATAAGTAGAATATTAAGAGACATTTGACTAGAAACATGAAATATTGAATCAGTTAGAGTAAGAGTTCAAAATGTCCTACGTTTCGACGAATTCACGATTCTATATTCTTTTCTTAAGAATGTATTATTCTTCTAAACAGTTGAGGATCAGCTGTTAGGTCATTTAAGTGATGTTCAATTATGTCTTACAACTCTCGACGTGAATTTACCTATGTAGCATAGACTTTCTGCTCAAGATACAACAAAACTGTGTAATCCATATGTTCTTAGTCAAATCTGTTTCGATGTTATTCTTGTGATTCAATGTTAAATCAATAAGTTTAGCGTCAGAAATGTATTGTTGTTTTCGGTTTTCAATAAATAGGTTATAATTTTTCATAATACTCACTCTAATACATATATAGCTTTATACCAGCAACAGTTAGCACTTCATCATTTTCAAATCGAAATATTCCGAAAACGGAACACTGTATCGAGTTTTACCAAGAGTACCTTTTTGGTGTGAAATTGAATGATGTTCCAGTTCACATCGAATTTGGATTTAAAAATCTAACCTCAAAAAATTTATGTTCAAAACTACTCAGTACGAACCGTGTAACTAGCACCCTCTATGGAAGTCAGGTATATAAACAAATGCATGTGATGTGTCAGATTCCAAGAAACATCCATACAAAATTTCATCACAATGTTGCCAGTAGTTTCGACATAATCTTGAAAAATGTATAAAAAAATAATTTTTTCAACACCTTGTATGGTGCCGTGCCGGATGCCGTTAGGAAATCTTTTTACTGAGTAAACCTAACTTATTTTGCAGTGTTCTACCTACCCTAGTGAGGGGGTCAGTTTTTTTGAAACACCCTGTATAATGATCCAAATGATGTTCAATTGATGTTGATCTTTATCTTCACAATTAATGAATCCATAATATTCGAATTAACTATCACCAAACTCCACTTGAAACAATATCAAATCCTATATCTTCATGCATGTTCTGTCTCCATAATTTCCTAATGGGGAAGACCACTGAGGGAAGAAATCCTTGCAAACCTCTTTCAATCGACGAATCATGATTTACATTTTATGTATGTACAATCAATTTTATGAGTTGAAGTTGAAGGGAATCGAATCTTTATCGTTTCGAAATCAGCATATTTCGTTCGATATTTTAAACAGCCAAATATGATGGTGGAGTCGTGACGTATATTAGTCCCGAACTGTATAGCTTTCTCTCTCTGATACCTAGTCATTCTGCAGTGTTGCAGTGTAATTTATTGGTCAGTTCAAGGACAATAGGCGTGTTGGGATTAAGACGTCGCACCAGTCACACCAATATGAATTGATGAAATTTCAAATGGCGCAGGAATTGTGTGATATGAAATGGACATATAGGTACTAATTTATTTTTTTCTTGATTTTAAACCCTCATAGATGTTTCTTAGTTTACTTGAATCTATAAACCCAGCATTAGGATTTCAAAATGCATCAATTTTTCCAGAAAATAGTATGTATAAGTATGTCAAGGTTGAGATTTCATTTGCTCAAATTGAGAAAATGTTTCAACAAGAATACAAAATCATAGATTCTTCAGAAGTTATATCTATTCAATGAACTAAAAATGAATTATATTGAATGGATGGATGAATGGAATTCCTTTTATAGGTAGATATAAAATGAAATTTAGTTGGTTATTATAATTTCATCTAATTCTCAGTATAAATAGTTATTTATGTATCAAGGGCGTAAAGTAGGCGTATGGCGCTAGCCGAGGGCCATTACACGCTGAAGGCCATGAACGCATTTCACGCAAGTGATACATACAAAATTTTATGCACTAGTGGTATATTTTCTGACTCAAAAGTAATGACTATAGATTTCGATAAACTAATATCCCCCCGAATTCAATTTGATACGTATAAATTCAGTAATCTGGTGAAGCGTAATGTTTATGGATGATTTACATAAAATAATATGAAAATTATCGTACGAATATTGCAATTATAGTAATAGTTAAACTCTTTGATCTCTAGAAGAGATTCATTCTTCAGAATTTTACAATATGCATACCCAGTGTATACAGGGTGTTTCACAAGTACGTGTAGAAAATCCAGAAGCATGTTGCTGACGTCAAAATGAGGAGATTCATTCATTAGATACCTTCCCGATTGGGAGTTAGACATGTTTTTCCGTATAGTTTCAATGTCATCAGAACGTCAGATGATGATCTTGACTACCGCGAATAGGAGATTCCTTATTGCTACGTTACTGCGTGGTTGTTGCTATGCATTTCTTATTTAATTTTAGTTAGAGGGAATTATAGCATCTATAACATCCCAAGGGAGTTATGACCCTCATAATAGATATCGTAACTATGACGATATAAGCTTATAATGTCACTGTCAGAAATAAAATATATTATAGTTAAGTGCCTATGACGTCGAATCTAGAATGTCACTAATTTTCTCCAAGTGCGATGGTGGTGTAATGGTCAGCATAGTTGCCTTCCAAGCAGTTGATCCGGGTTCGATTCCCGGCCATCGCAAATTTTTTTTTAATTCATTTGTGTCAATTAATATAGTTTTTTCTCCAAAATATGCTGAAAAATATCCGGAAAAGATAATAAAATGAAAGTGATATCACGATGTTCTGAATATTCAGATTAGAGCAGTATTTTGCTATATTATTTAACTAAGGATATGAAACAGTCATTACAATCCATTGATTAAGTACGTAGTAGGTTCGACTCCCGGCCATCGCAACTTTTTTTATCCCATCTTATCAGATTGGTTCCACTTTAACGTAGATTTTTTGTTTGCATCACGATTTAGTAGGTTAATCTTCCTCCTTCACGATATTCATTGTGTAAAAAGAGCGGCATTCATCATATTTTTAATTAATCGTATATTTAAGGATCATATTATGCCGATTTTTTAATTTTCAGGACACCCGAACCGAATTCTCGTGCTCCAGACAGGGCTTTTTCGCGCACCCTCGCTCCTGCAACCGTTTCTATCGGTGCGTGCTATTTGACCAATCCAGCGACGAGTTCAGCGTCTTCGAATTCGACTGTCCTGCAGGCTTGGCCTTTGACGAGCGCGTCGAAGTGTGCGTATGGCCCGGCAGCCTGCCCGAGGGAAAGCCATGCGCGGGCAGCAGCGAGATAGCGCCCGTGCCTCGATCGAGATTCGTCTGCCCACACGAACCTGGTGAGTTAACTCTCTGCGCAGAATTACCCCTAGCTGCGCAGAATTAGCCCTAGGCTGCGCAAAATTACCCTAAGCTGCGCATAATTACCCCTAGATAGACAGAATTACTCTATAAGCTTTTATGAACTGTTTCCTCTTGCAGGCTACTACGCAGACCCTGAAAACTGCCGCTGGTTCTTCGCCTGCATGGACCACGGAGATGCTTCCCCTTCCGCCTACGAGTTCAGATGCCCCTACGGTCTAGTATTCGATTCCGATCGGCTGATGTGCGAATGGCCTTGGCTAGTACCTAGGTGTGCTAGTGGAAGCGGCCTTGGGATCAACTTGGGACAAGAATACGCTTATGGTGGTACCGGCTACTCCTCAGCTAGTGCTCTGGACCATTACAGTGGACTTGGTAGTCTCGGGGTAGTCAGACTTGGAGGACTCACTGGTGAAATACAGCAACCAGTTATTTACAGTAACGTTGGAGGTGGGGGTTATCCTTCTGCTACGATTGGTGGATTGGGCATCAAGGCTACCCAGTCTCTACATAACGCTGGATTGTTGAGGGGAACAGGCATATACGACAATAATATCCAATACTCTTCTGATGCAGCACGTTCAAACTCAGCAGCGCACTACCTAGATGCTTCGGCTCTCAATCAACAAACTATCGGATCCTTGGGATCCTCTCAACATGGTGCTGGCTCTGGGAGCTACAGTTATGCATCGAATTCTGGGCAGGGTGCTTCATCTTTGAATCAACAATTGATTGGATCCATTGGATCTTCGGGATCATCTGAGCACGGTTCTGGATCTGGAAGCTATGCATCGAATTATGGGCAGGATGCTTCATCTTTGAATCAACAATTGATTGGATCTATTGGATCTTCGGGATCATCTGAGCATGGTTCTGGATCTGGAAGCTACAGTTATGCATCGACTTCTGGGCAGGGTGCTTCGTCTTTGAATCAACAATTGATTGGATCTTCGGGATCATCTGAGCATGGTTCTGGATCTGGAAGCTACAGTTATGCATCGAATTATGGGCAGGATGCTTCATCATTGAATCAACAATTGGGTTCAAGCGGTTCTGGATCTTCTCAGTTTGACGGTTCTGTTGGTGGTGGCCATATTTCTGATACGATTCTGCGACTAGGAGATGGAAATTCGTTTGGGGTGAAAACAATACAAAATCTCCTGGATAACAACAAGGGGTCTCAGAGCGTGAGTGGTGTTGCAAGCTCTGGATCATCTGATTATCAAGGAACTAGGAATGGTGAATCTGGAAGTTACATTGAACATTCTAACTTGGGATTTGATGCTTCGGATTCATTTGGTTTGAGAAACTCACAAGATGTGTTGAATAGTAATAATGAAGGTGGTTCTTATAATGGAGTTGGATCATCTCAATATGAAGGTTCCAGTATTGGAGGATCTAGAATAAGTACCATTGCAAATTCAAACTTGGGATTGTATGCTTCGAGTTCTTTAGACTCGAGAACCACCCAGCAACTTTTGAATAACAACAATGATGGATCTTATAAAGGAGTTGTACATTCAGGATCTTCTCAGTATCAAGGCTCTAATGGTAGAGGATCTGGAAGTTACGTTGTAAATTCAAACTTAGGACTTGATGCTTACAACTTATTGGGCACAAATAATAATGACAATGAAGGTTCTCACAATGGGTTTTCAAACTACGAATCATCTCAGTATCGAGGTTCCAGTAATGGTGAATCTGGATCTTACAATGGAGTTGAACACTCAGAATCTTCTCAGTATCAAGGCTCTAATGGTAGAGGACCTGGAAGTCACATTGTAAATTCAAACTTGGGTCTTGATGCTTCCAATTTATTGGTCACAAATACCAACCAGCAGCTGTTGAATAAAAATAATGACGGTTCCTACAATGGGTTCTCGAACTTCGAATCATCCCGGTATCAAGGCTCCAGTAATGGTGAATCTGGAACCTATACTTCAAATCAAAACTTGGGACTAGATACATCAAGTTTATTAGACACCACTCAGCATCACCTGAATAGTGGAAATCAAGGTTCGTACCAAGGAGGCAGCAGTTCATATAGTAATTCGATCATAAGACATGATGGAGCTACTGCTTTTGATGCAGGAACCTCGAGGGACAACTTGAACATTAAATCTGGTGTATATAATTCTCTCAATGCTGAAGTTGGTAGTGGTATTGACGGTCAAGCAGGTCTGAATACAAATAACTTGAGGACGTATTATGCACAAGATCAAGTCTCAGGTGGAGGAAATCAACAAGTTTTGTTTTCTGAAAATGATCATATACTTGCCAATCAAGGACTGGATTCCACTGCTTTTGGAGGAAAAGATTTTAGTCAACTGAATTTCGAGAGTAAATCTTTGGGTAACATTGATCTCCATAGCAACCATATCCAGCAAGAAAATGATGCCTCACATTATCAGCACGGTGTCTCTGGAAATATCAATATAGTTGGTGGAGGTTACTCAGCTGTTGAAAAATCGCACGTCCAAGTCAATCATAATGGTGAGAATAATCTTGGTCTGGTTCAAACTACTGTGGCACCAGTATCTATCTCGACTTACCATTCAGTGCCTACTCTCACTTCAGTTCCAGTATCTATTTCCACATATTCTCCAGTTCCGACAGTTACTGCAGTACCTGTACCAACGCTGAGTACCCCTACAGCATTCGAGCAATACAATGGTGGTGTGATAGCTAATATCCCACAGTTGCAGTACCAAGTTGGAAGATCTGGGGTCTCTAATATCTCTTCTACCTTTGGCAACTTCTTTTCTAGCACACCATCCAGTGTTTTCCTGTACAATGATCGTCAGAGAAAGTATGGAGCAACATCGAGTGGAGCTAAGAGTTACAACTACCAATCCCACATTCCTCATGGAGTTGCTGGAAGTTTGGAGGTACAAGGCGTATCTAGTACTCTCAGACCTGAAGTAGATGTGTCACGATCTGGAGGTTATATCTACAATAAACCGAGCATAGCTTTCGAAGAAACTCCCAAAATCAATACATATACACCCTCTTCAACAGTAACACCTATCCAATACTTGCAGCCACAAGTATCTGTCCACTCAGTTACATCAAATTCCAACTCGAATTACAATGCCGAACATAGAGATACTGCATTCCAGGGATATAGTTACGAAAAACCCTCAGTGACTTTCGAAGAGAATCCTCTACCAAGAGTGACAACATCAGCACCAATCATCACAGTGCAGCCTCAGGTACTAGTTTCTTCAACTGTGGCTCCTGTGGTACCTCTTCAACCAATAACTCATACATATAACCAGAACATTCAAACTGGCGGCTATCAATATCCTAAGCCATCCATAGCGTTTGTGGAACGTCCTTCGCAACCTGTTATCATATCAAGATTCAGCATCAAAAAACCTGTTATTCAAGAAACTTATGCAAGGCCAACAGTTGCCGTGAATACATATAGACAGGAAGTCGGAGAAGGCTATCGCTATGAAAAACCTTCTATATCATTCGAAGAAAGACCAGTGATTCAATCTACAATCCGACCAGTAGTACTGGATTACCAGCAACCTATAGGGAAAACTAGCTGGTCTTTTAAAGACGTCGTGCAGGCAGTCCAACCAGTCTCAACATATTTGCCAGTCACTGAAAGATCTCATGTAGTACAACAAACTATCAAGCCTGTAGTATCTACTTACTTACCGGCTACTGAGAGGCAAATCTCAGTTCAACCAGCACGTCCAGCCATTGTCTCTAGTTATTTCCATCAGGAACCAGCTGTGAGCAGTTACACTTTCAAAGATGTTCTAACTCAGACCACTGCTAGACCTTTACAGCGAACTTACAGTTATTCTACAAGTCCCCAACCGATAGTAATTCAGTCTACTATCAGGCCTGCTGTCAATTACCTTCCTGCAACAGAGAGACCTACTTTTGTTCATAAGCATGTCCTGGTTGATAGACCAGTGTCCACTTACTCACCAGTTACTGAGAGACCAGTTGTCGTTCCCAGCTATAACTATATTGCTTCAACTACAACAAAACCAGTTGTCGCCTATACATATACCAGCCCTACACCTGCGCCATATGTACCTCAAATCATTTCTACAACACCAGCTCCCCAAATTTCTGTACAGAGGCAGAAAAACGTAGAGTTCAGGGGCTATAATTATCCTAGACCTTCAGTGTCTTTCGTCGAAGAACCAGTACCCTCAGTGGTAACGCAGGAGGTAAGACAGCCAATAGAAGAAGTCCCATTTGTCAAGAAAACTGCCTATGTAACAGGAAACACCAATGTGGTTAATCCGATCGTGATAGAAAACTACCAAGCTGCTAATTATGAAAAGGTTAAATCGAAATTGTTCGGACAGTCAGTTGATTCAAGTTCCAACATAAACTTCGGTATTTACGAAACTGTCAGTAGTACACCTGCCCCTGTACAACAGGTCTATATACAATCTACTCCTCGACCAACATACTCATCGACTTTAGCTTCAGTATTAGCTGCTAAATCAGAGTCTGGTTCGGCAGAATCTGACTTCCAATACTACGAGAGTAGATATTCTTCTACACCCCGAACTGTTACTGAGGGATACCTGTATCCCAAGCCAACTGTTGTATTTGAAGAGAAACCAGCTGCTCCGAGCAAAGAATACCTTCCAGTGACTACCAGTAGACCCATAGTGAGATATTCCTTCAGTTCTTTGGATGACGATTACCAATATGTTTCGACTGAATCCACTACCGCTGTGCCGAGAGAATACCTACCTGTGAGAAGCAGAGTGAGAGTGACCTCTCCTGTACCAACTTACGTAGTACCTGTCTCGACTGAAACCAGTACGCTTGCTCGGGAATACCTACCAGTACGGTCTAGAGTGAGAGTAACTACACCTGAGCCCAGCTATGTAGTACCTACAGTAACCATTCCCTCTAGAGAATATCTTCCAGGAAGGTCGAGAGCGAGAATAACCACTGCCATACCAAATAGAGAGTATTTACCAGTGAATTCCAGAATAAGAGTTACAACAGACGGTGTGGATTCTGAAAGTTTGGAGGTTTCTTCCAGGAGACCTGTCAAAGTGATCAAGGTGGTAAGACCCAGAACGAAAACCATCATCAAACAAAACGACATGCATCCTATTCTATCAGCTAAGCTCGGAGCCCAATGTACATGTGTCTCAAATACAGTTAACCTGAGGAAAAAACAAAGAATAATAGTAGTTGAAGATGATGATGACGAGGATGACGGTTATGTAGTGAGCAATGAAGATCAAAGCGGTACTGTCATAGAGAACTACGAGTACGAGCCACAAAGGGTTGTAGATATAACCCCCACGCCTGAAATATACGTACAGAGCACCACGAATGGTATCGTAGTACCCTCACCTAGCTACCCTGCCAACAGAAGAGTGAGGGTGAGGCCGTCGACCACTGTGGCTTACGAGTTGGAGGAAGACGATGGTCCTTCTGATAGACAGATAGCAAAGGCTGTCCGGACCGGTTTGAAATTGGTGAAACAGGCTGCCAAGGAAGGTGCCAAGGAAGGAGCTGAAGAAGCAATTGCCAACTACAGCCCGAGAACTGGCAGCTCTAGAGAGGGCATCGAATGTCAAAGAGCTGGTCTTTTCAGGCATCCCAATCAATGCAACAAGTTCTACTCTTGCAAGTGGGACTGCAAGAAGAATAGGTTCACTCTCCACGTGTTCAACTGCCCTGTTCATTTGACTTTCGATAATAATCTTGGAGCTTGTAACTGGCCAAGCCAAGGTCCGGCTTGTATGGATGATACTTTGCTTCCCAACGAATAAATACCTATCGTAGTAATAAGTGTGGTAGGTTTAGGGAATAATTTATTGATACCTGCATTTTTCATTTGCCATTTATTTATTCCATTTTAATGTCAGTGTTTTTGTTTTGTTTCCAGCGTTAAATAGTGTCAAACGTCTTCGATAAAGGTTGTATATTTTTTTATCTGTAATATAACATATTGTATAGAATATTTATAGAATTAGATTAGATATTAAATTCATCGTGAAGAATATCCTTGTTCTTTTCTACACCAACGTATTATCCTGAAGTATTCTTTTGGCAGTTAGGTCTTTGGTAATTCATCCCAAATATAAAGAAGAGTATATTAGTATCCGTATTATACGGCCAAGAAGATTCATAAATCTCCATCTATTCATACATAGATCATTTTTATAGGATCCCTGTTGTATACAGGGTGTTTCATAATTGAATGCTGATCCTAAAGGGCGATTATCCTTGGATGATTTTGAAGAAAATTCTTCATGTGAACATAGGTCCGTAACAGCTTTGTTTCTAAGATACAGGATGTTGAAATTTAACAAAAAAATCAGTTATTCTCCAATATCTCTGAAACCACTCTGGCTTTTTTCTTCGATTTTGGTACATGCCAAGTATGCATAGGAATACATTTTTACCATAATGAAGGATTTCTTAATTTCCATCAGTGGCGTCCCTGTTAACATACCCTGTCATATTTTTCATCAAGATAATGATACGCCACTGTCTTTTTTCCAAATAAATATTATTTTTGTAAGTATCCTCTATCCTCTCATAAAAATGGTCTCTTGTCTTTTTTTCGTCCGGCGAACGGTTTTTGAGTTAGAAAATAAAATGCATTCATTTGCTTGTCCCTATTCGATTTTTAAATTTTATTACAAGGATGAAGGGAGGTGACTTATTCAAGTGGGACACCCTGTACAAGAAAGGAAATGATTGAATTTTTTGTTCAACATTCTATAAAATTCCAGAAGACTGATCACTTTAGAACAAAAATGTGAGAGCGAATCTACGATTTTTTCACAATAACTAAGGAAAGTGAATTGCTGTTTTTAAGCACATTTTAATTGTTAATATCTCAAAAACTATATAGGTCCTATCGACCTGTTCGAGATCTCAATTGTATGATGACAGTGTGTTCTACCAGGAAATTACATATTCTCGGGATTTGTTTTGTTTTCTTGGAAATAATTGGCATCGGAAGTCTCGAAGTATTATTGGTTTATGACGAGTTCAAACATTGAAATTTCCAATTCTTGGTTCGATATTCTGAAAAAATTCAAGAGGACTGTTCCAAAATATTAGAACTAAATAATGTAATCGACTGATTATCCGAATATTTTCACAATAACTTGGTGGTGTTTCAATGAATTAAAGAGATGCTCTTTTTCGCGTACTTTGATCTTTAACTTCTCGAAAACTATAGACCCTAGTGACCTGCATGACAATCGATTGAGGAAGGTCTGTTTCACTAGGAAATCTTGGATTTTTCGCAGTTTTACTTGAATTATTTGCATTGGAAACCCGTTCTATCGTCCTATGAAGCTTCCTCGTTTTTTTATGAGTACAATAATGAGTTTATCTATACTCGATTTAATATTCTGAGAAAATTCAAGAAACTCTTTCAAACCCGTATCGGAAGAATATGTTACCGAAAATCCTGAATTTTCCATTACATTATGGTTGTATTTGGAATAAAATCAGTTGATCCTATGGAAAAATCAAAATCACCACGCTAGATCTAACCAACAGTACCTATGGAAAAAGATTTTCAGTTATATGATTCCCCAATGAACACGAAGAAAATTGAACAGATTTTACCAAGAATTCCCATTTTCTACAAACGTCAAAAATGACAAGGTTCGCGCATTGATAACAAATTGCGAAGTGACACTTTTTTTCAGTTTCCTTCCATGATACCTTGCACAAAACAATGCGCGAAGTAAAGCAGTGCGCGAAGTACCTACTTCGCGCATTGTTATGTAAAATATTTGAGATATTTAAATTTCAACTTTATGGTCCTCAATCGAGCAAACCCACAATGTCTTTTATTTCTGAATGTTCAACAATAACTTTGTTTTATCTCTTGGAGCGCACGAAACAAAATTCCTATTATGTTCGTGGAACATCGTGCGTACCTAGGTAGGATAGGGGAAGGCCTTTTAAGCCAGTTCAACACTATTTTTTATATCAAGCTAAGCTTATTTTTATTTTAAAACAATATTTTTCGATGTTTGTAAAAAAAATATTGCTTGCAACTCGACCGCGATATACTCATCAGATCTCGAGCACCAAAGTAGCATTTCGCGCTCTAAATACAGAAACAACTATTTTCTACGGACGTCAAAGAATGATAAGGTTCGCGCATTGATGACAAATTGCGAAGTGACAGTTTGTTTCAATTTCCTACGTTACAACGACCCCATGTGTGAAGCAGTGCGCGAAGTAAAACGATGGGCGCATTGTATGTAAAAACTGTGTGAGATGTTCATATTTTGATTTTATGGTGCTCAATCGAGCAAACATTCAAGAAATCTTTTTTTTTCTGATTGTTGAACAATATTTTTCTTATCTCTTGGAACACATGAAAGGAAATTCTTATAAGTAGATATCCCAGCTCTCCAGTCCAGCCCCACTCCTCCACTTTTCTCCAAACCACGTGTACTCGGCTAGCCAATCAGAAGCCAGCATTTGGTTAGAGGCTACGCCCACTAACCGCAATCTACATCCGGCTACAACAAGCGAGCTAAATGCAAGCTGCCGATAAGAATGGAAATAACACAACTACAATAACAAAATGGAGTATGATATATAGGGTGAATACGAAAAACCGGGTTCAGAGGAAAAAAATTAAAAATATACATGATGAACATATCACATTTAGTAGATTACAGCCAACCTATGACGTATGACATTTGACATTCGACAGCTCACATATGATATATTATACAGAATGATATTTTGAAAACTTCCCATCCTCAATATCTTTTGCAGTGAATAATATGGGCAATCGAAAAAAAAGATCGATTTTATTCTCGAAGGGGACACTTGAAATGATTAGATGTTACCCTTATAATCCTAATGAGAAGGGGGGTCAAGTGGCACATCGTTTAGAAGGGTGTTCAATTCTCTTTCCCTAATTGATCATTTTCTGCCGAGCAGTTTCCGAAAAATGTCGTGTCACTTGGAATTGATATCTTCCTTTCAGTTATAAATGATATGAGAAATCGAAAAAACACGTCAATTCCATTTCAGTGGAAGATACTTAAAATGCATATTTTTAACCCTCCTAGTTCAAACCCCTAGGAGGGGTAGATGTTACCCTTAAAAAACCTGATATGGAAAGCGGGTCAAGATGAACATCATTTTGGAGGGCGTACAAGTCTCGTTTCAAGTATACCCTGGATTTTCATTTCTTTATGAAAAGACACCAAAAAATGCCGTCCTTCATATCAATGATCTGTTGGGAGTAACAACTTGCCCCATCCACAGCTTTGCAGATGATAGTACCCTCCATACTGCTTTCTCTTCCAGAATTCCCATTTATTTCCAGGAAACTTAGAACTCACGGCGCAGGCAGGTCAATGCTGTCAATGAAGACCTTGCTGAAATCACAGCCTGGGGAACCAACAACCTAGTTGAATTGCCACCAAAACTCAAGTCTGTATTTTTTTTTCTAGAAAGGCGGAACTCAGTATGCAGCAACACTCTTTCATGATATAATCATGTCAGATCCATCGCAAAAGCTGCTTCACAAAAACTCGGATTCTTGATTCGTGCGAAAAGCTACTGTACACCTCAACAGCTTCTCATGATCTACAAAGCGCAGATACGGCCTGTTCTAGAATACTGTTTCCACATATAGGGTTCAGCACTAAAACATACGCTGATGCTCTTGGATTCCATCCAGAGAAGAGCCATTCGCCTGGTGGGTGACGCCACACTCACTCACTCTTTGACATCATTGGAACACCGTAGAAAGGTCGGCGACCTTTCACTTTTCTATCGATACTTTCACGGGAAATGTTCCTCGGAAATCTCTGCTATCATCCCTTCCCTAGCAATACTATTCAGACAAACTGGACAAGCCCAGTCAGCACATCCTTTCGTTGTCAACCTCGAAAGATGTCGAACAGCACTTTATCAAAACTCCTTCATCCATAGAACCGCTAGGCTCTGGAATTCATTGCCTGAGGTAGTATTCCCAACAACATATAATCTCCAGAAGTTCAAAAAAAATTCCAATACCTTCCTCTTGTCCCTATCCTCTCTAGGAACGCAAGATGTTCTTTGAACATCATAGGGATTTCCTTTCGTGCGCTCCAAGCGATAAAAAAAACAGAAGTAATAGGAACATGCTTGCACTGATATCTCGACTGATATGCATGGTTTTCAGATTCGTATTATTGTATTGAACCTTTTAGTCCAAATAGAAGAAGATTTATAATGCATTCCAGTGCAGACATGTTCCATTTACTTCTGTAAGTTTAGAATTATATGGGTAACATCTACCCCTCCTAGGAGGTTTCTGTTAGTTTAGAACGGTAGTTTTCGGGAAGTGCTCATCAAAAAATCATAAACTAGTGTACTGTTGGAAAGAAGATTGAAAGCCCTTCAAAATGATGTGTCACTTGGCCCCCATCATATTTGAGATTCTGAGGGTGAACATCTATGAACCAAGAGGGGTGAAAATATCCATTTGAAGTGTCTTCCTTGATATTGCAATTGATCTATATTTTCGATTTTCCATTTTTTTACTGAATGGAAGATATTGAGGATGGAAAGTTTTCTGATTGAAACGGCAGTTTTCGGAAACTGCTCAACAGAAAATGATAGACTAAATGCACCGTTGGAAAGAGAAGATGTTAAGGGTAGAAAGTTCTCTAATTGCCACGGCAGTTTTCGGAAACTGCTCAACAGAAAATGATAAACTAAATGCACCGTTGGAAAGAGAAGATATTAAGGTTGGAAAATTCTTTAATTGCCACGGCAGTTTTCGGAAACTGCTCAACAGAAAATGATAAACTAGGGTACCGTTGGAAAGAGAAGATATTAAGGGTGGCAAGTTTTCTAATTGCCACGGCAGTTTTTGGAAACTTCTCAACAGAAAATGATAAACTATAGGGTACCATTGAAAAGAGAAGATATTAAGGGTGGAAAGTTGTCTAATTGCCACGGCAGTTTTCGGAAACTGCTCAACAGAAAATGATAAACTATAGGGTACCGTT